GGAAATTTGGAAACCCCCCAGATAGGTCTCTGGATCCGCCACTGTATACAATAATAATGATACAATAATAATATACAACATTTGATACAGCGCCCTATATCAAAATTCGCTTTACAGTATATAGATAAACAATTTATACAATACGCTTTACATTATAATCAATAAAATTTTGCGGAATTTGTAGGAGTTGTCTTATCAGGCGCTAACTACTAGTCCTATGCCACCTGGCTAATATCTCCCTATGTGTGTATGCATGCGTGTGTGCTGGAGATGTAATGAACATTATTGACTTCAAATGAGAATAAGAACAGTAGCGCATTCCATTTAGCGGATCGCCTGGTTTGTTTCGGCACACATGGAACGTTCCGATAGAAAGATAACTTCTCATAATGTATATGGCCATGTAAAATATAAAATCCAGGTAATGTCACGTCCTCAAATAAAGTACCGCGGTAGTGACAAAGAATCAATAAGATACACTACTCAGCGTCATTCATATCACACGGGAAAATAGAATATTTCCGAATAGAATCATGATTGATGACTATATAGAACTTACCCAGAATCTTTACTAACTTGCATATCGGAGAAATTCAAAGTGATCTGTTGCCTTATTGTAACACTTGAGATAATTATCTTTTGTTACACCTCTACTCCTTCCTTTCGCCGGCGTCTCTCTGGCACTCTCCCTTATATGACCTGACCTGTAGCGAGACTAACACTATTAACGACCATTTTTCTGTTCTTTCTTACATAAGGATCTCACATGAGTTTTCATTTCATATGAGATTTATGAAAAGAATCTATTTTTTTTTTTCAATTTAGCGAGCCTCTGGCGTGCTAAAATGTAAAATTCGTGACGAGTTTCATAAACTTCATATGAAATGAAAACGAGTGTAAGATCCTTTTTATCACATTATCAAGATTTGTGGCAGTTGTTCGAGTAAAACGACAATTTTCATGCAACCTTGAGATGTAAATGCCGCCATTTTGACCCAAGAGCGGAAGTCTGTGACGTCATATACTTGTCCTAGGCGTGACGTCACAATTGAAACAATTGAAACTTACAACCAATCGCAGGGCTGATAGGTCATATAACATGGGTTAATACACAAAAACATTAGACATGGGTATATTCAGTGGATAACACAATGCATTATGTGATAAAAAATGTATCTGCTATTCTTTATTTTCGACGATGTCTCCATAGAAACCTTCCGCTGGTCACCCCGTTGTTAGATTAATGTGACCGGAGGGATGGTACATGTAACACAACACTAATCAGGCTGATATTTCCAGCTATATGTCGCTCTGAAGAGGCCTGTGGATGGTCCCATCATTTGTAGATACCGTGTTCAAATGACCTTAGCTACGTTTCATGCATGTTTTTATATTAACACTTCAACTGCAAGCTCTCTTATAAGCAGTGCTAGATCAAATTGTGTTCATAGAGCTATGCACGCCATTTGATCAGCGTCTATTACCCCCGCCTCGAATAACACGAGACAACCGATATAATCAAACATTTTGGTGACGTTATTCCAGGAATCTCTTTTTGCACTGACGACACAGACACTCCATTATAAAAAAATAGGAGAGAATTTCTGTATTTAAATTGATATCAACTTAACATTTAGAATGTGAATATAAGAATTGAACGGCATTTTTTCCAATCTTCTTGCTGATACAAGTACGAACGCAAATTGGTCACATGTGTATTTACCATGAAGCCCACTAGGACTTCATGGTATATGTATGTAACCGATTTGCGATCACACACGCATGAAATCGGAAAAAACACCCGTTCAATCTTTATGTAAATTACTCTTCTTTGTTTTTAGACTGTGATGGATTAGATCGAAACTCTGTAATTCGAATCTCTAATTAAAGACGGATTCCCGCTGGTTTTTAAAATTGCTGTAAGGCAAAAAAAAACCAAAAAACAAATAAAGATGTTTGCATCCCTTTTCATGTCTAAAAAAATTGTGTAAGAAGATAACCAGGTTTGTATTTATAATCGTAATATTGACTTTATAGTGCTTCCTTGAAAATTGCCGTAAGCGATTAAAGTAAACATAAATATTTAGGGTAGACATGGTGTTTTGAAGCACTTCAAACTCCCTTTAAAAATTGCCTGTAAGCCAATAAATGATTCCGCTCTTGATATATCACTTCTCTGAGGAGACAGATACAGATCATAAGCGCAAAAGATGTCTGCAAATATTCATATTGTTTGAACATCATGCACACGTTGGGCAGTTATTCGTTATTCCCAAATCAATAACTCATAAATAGTAGCCTAACTAACTGGCGTGTCATAGTTAACTAAGACCACAAAGCAGTAATTCTTATTTCAAAGTTCACCAATAATGAATAACGAACAACTCTCCAACTTAACGTAGTCTTTTGGTAGAATTTTCTTTCGATGACGATGTTTCACGAATACGGTATTTAAAAAAAAAACGGCTTGCACTTTGTGTAAATCTTCACATACCTGCATACCATAGGTTGTTTTTATTTTGTATATAACTCCCAAAATGGTCATGGTCATTCCCAATAACTGAATTTAAAATGACAGATAACACTTAGAGTTAAGCTCAGAGTTAAGAAATAGTTATTCTGATAAAAACAAAAGAATTCAGCACAAAACACAACGCATTGTTCTGTAATTTCGTTGCCGAGCAACTTCAACCATTCAGAACTTCGAATTACAAATGGCGCACCAAATATGGCGGCATGCGACGTCATCCTTTATTTTTTAAATATTAGAACCTCTTTAATAATGAAAAAAAAAATCACAAGAATTCATATCTTTTGAATACTGAAATTTTGCCAAAAACAGCGGGAGCCTGTCTTTAAGCAAAGTAAGTCTTTAATTGTTATTCGAAAATCTGCCTATTCCGTGCAAAGTTCTCTATCCAAGTGTTCCACTTTTGACAGACAAATCCTCTCTGCAACCTGTATCGAGAAGAACATAATTATAATTCTATATACACCCTTGCATTTCGATGACTCCTCCTTTCGGAAATATTGGATTTAGACATATTTTTTTGTATATAAATGTGATCCTTCACCGGAAGTGGCTTCGATTGATATTTTTATATGCGAGTTAACATTGTTTTTTTTTTCTAGGAAAGTCAGTGTGATTGTTATAAACGAGTTCATGTACATACTGGCTTTGCAGTAGCGAAGCCACTGTCCCATTCAACATGCTTTACGCTGTGCCGTTCTATGGTTGGATGAGGAGCGTATGAGTCAATGGAGATATCATAAACAGGGGTTCTATCGATTTTCCTCCTGTGATGCCTCAGCTACGCCAACAGTAGACCACTAACGTGGTATTAATTGTATTAGCGTTGTATTTACATTCTCTGAACCCGAAATGGTCCCTTCGTCCCTTTTTATCCAATAGATATGTGCGCATCATGACTTACATGACGCGCGCGTGTGTTGTTACGACTGATGATGACATTTTTTGGACGCCATTTTGGATTGTGTATGTCGTATGAACGTGCTGTGTGAACGTAACACTGTATATATATATATATATATATATGAGATGGCTATGGCTTTGAAGGCGATGTGTGTCCTGGTGAGACGCGGTATAACAGCACTGATAGTAACAGGTAAGTACATTTATTTTAAACATAAACAGGGTATGAATAAATATACGACTTATTATACACTCTTAATTACAGTGTAGGACATTCAAGCAGTGTTGTGCAAATATCGGTGAAATATTAGTTCTTTAACATTAACAGTGTAGTGCAAATATCAATCGTACATATTCGAATACCAACTCACGTATTAGCGGTGTAATGCAAATATTAATTGTACATACATCGTACGTATTCTTAAACTAATATTTACAATGTAGTGCAAATAGCCCATGTACGTATTCGTACTGATATTCACAGTGTGGAGCAAATATCCCATGAAGGTATTCGTACTGATATTTACAGTATAGTGCAAATATCCCATGTACGTATTCGTACTGATATTTACAGTATAGAGCAAATATCCGATGTACGTATTCGTACTGATATTTACAGTATATAGCAAATATCCCATGAACGTATTCGTACTGATATTCACAGTGTAGAGAAAATATCCCATGAAAGAATTCGTACTGATATTTACAGTATAGTGCAAATAGCCCATGAACGTATTCGTACTGATATTCACAGTGTAGAGAAAATATCCCATGAAAGAATTCGTACTGATATTTACAGTATAGTGCAAATATCCCATGTACGTATTCGTACTGATATTGACAGTATAGAGCAAATATCCCATGTAAGTATTTGTACTGATATTCACAGTGTAGAGCAAATATCCCATGTACGTATTCGTACTGATATTTACAGAATAGAGCAAATATCCCATGAACGTATTCGTACTGATATTTACAGTATAGAGCAAATATCCGATGTACGTATTCGTACTGATATTTACAGTATAGTGCAAATATCCCATGTTCGTACTCGTACTGTCATTTACAGTGTAGAGCAAATATCCCATGTAAGTATTTGTACTGGTATTCACAGTGTAGAGCAACTATCCCATGTACGTATTCGTACTGATATTTACAGTATAATGCAAATATCCCATGAACGTATTCGTACTGATATTTACAGTATAGTGCAAATATCCGATGAACGTATTCGTACTGATAATATTTACAGTATAGTGCAAATATCCCATGTACGTATTCGTACTGATATTTTCAGTATAGTGCAAATATCCCATGAACGTATTCGTACTGACATTCACAGTGTAGAGCAAATATCCCATGTACGTATTCGTACTGATATTTACAGTATAGAGCAAATATCCCATGAACGTATTCGTACTGATATTTACAGTTTAGTGCAAATATTCCATGAACATATTCGTACTGATATTTACAGTATAGTGCAAATATCCCATGTACGTACTCGTACTGGCATTTACAGTGTAGAGCAAATATCCCATGTAAGTATTTGTACTGATATTCACAGTGTAGAACAAATATCCCATGTACGTATTCGTACTGATATTTACAGAATAGAGCAAATATCCCATGAACGTATTCTTACTGGTATTTACAGTATAGAGCAAATATCCGAAGTACGTATTCGTAATGATATTTACAGTATAGTGCAAATATCCCATGTACGTACTCGTACTGTCATTTACAGTGTAGAGCAAATATCCCATGTACGTATTCGTACTGATATTTACAGTGTAGAGCAAATATCCCATGAACGTATTCGTACTGATATTTACAGTATAGTGCAAATATCCAATGTACGTACTCGTACTGAAATTTACAGTATAGTGCAAATATCCCATGTACGTATTCGTACTGATATTTACAGTGTAGAGCAAATATCCCATGTAAGTATTTGAACTGATATTCACAGTGTAGAGCAACTATCCCATGTACGTACCCGTACTGGCATTTACAGTGAGAGCAAATATGCCATGTAAGTATTTGTACTGATATTCACACTGTAGAGCAACTATCCCATGTACGTACCCGTACTGGCATTTACAGTGAGAGCAAATATGCCATGTAAGTATTTGTACTGATATTCACAGTGTAGAGCAACTATCCCATGTACGTACTCGTACTGGCATTTACAGTGAGAGCAAATATCCCATGTAAGTATTTGTACTGATATTCACAGTGTAGAGCAACTATCCCATGTACGTACTCGTACTGGCATTTAAAGTGTAGAGCAAATATCCCATGTAAGTATTTGTACTGGCATTTACAATGTAGTGCAAATATTTACTGTCACTTGGAAGTACTGTATTCGTGTTAGCATTTACAATGTAGTACACATATCCTATATTAGTATTTGTACTGATATTTACAGTATAGTGCAAACATCCAATGTATGTATGAGTGCATTTTTAACTTATTGGCACTGATTGTAAATATCCATAATACACATTGTTTGCTAATATCTAATTTACTGCACGTATACGAAAAACTTATACTAATATTTACAATGTAGAAAAAATAGCAAATATGCGCTAATAATTACTATTTACATATTGCAAATATCCAATATACGTACTGTACACTAATATTCAAAGAGTAACAAGTACAAATATCCAATGATCGTATTTTTACTTTAATATATAGTGCCTGAACCCAAAAATCTAATGTACACGTTTTACATAGTACACTAATAATTTACATTAAAATACCATATTTTCAATATACATTGTGACCACAGCATCGTGTGAACTTTTAATTATACGTGAGCCGATACGAGCCCTATCTGTGGCCCCGATCCTAAACGGTAATGCCGACACATTCCAGGAACTTAATACACGGCTGTAATACTAATTACACTAGTACAGTAATGTGACGAATTTGTTATCCAGGCCTGGTTTTTTTCCTATGAAACCATAATGCGTGGATTATCGAGTTCCTAATTAACCGCGTAACGTCATTCCTAAATTAATGTATTCCCACTGAGATAGGGAAACACGATTATTTGTTTCCACGAGATAAATTATGTTACACGAGAGCGAAGCCTGGGTCAAAGAAGATTGATCGGAGGGAAATAAAGAATCTTGTTTCTCTACCACAAGGGCAATACGCATTTTATTAAGATGATCAACCTTACTCCCTATTGTTGTTGTTTTAGTCAGTCACTCGAACTTAGGTGTGATGTTTTTTGGTCGTTTTTCTCGAGAGACACCCGAATGATGGGATTATAACCAGGGAACCAGTGCGTGAGAGAGACACGATGTTTTGTTTCCCCGTCATGTGATCAATATACTCCAATAAGATTTGCTGTTCAATTCAATTCAATTTATTACCAAATGCACATTGCATATAGGCGTACAGAAATATACATATAGATAAATACTTTACAAATATCTTGTGCAATGGCGGAGAACATATGCAGTAGATTCAATTCCATACATAATATTTACAAATTATGAAATTGGCATAAGTTTGGGAAAACTTTAAGGTTTTCCTAAGGTAACTTAGCGGACTCTTATGAAGCATAATTTAGTTGCATAATTTAGTCGTTTAGGAAATAATACAAATAAAGCCTTAATCTAACCAAATCCTAGGAAATAACAAAACTTCAAAGTCAATCATACAACCTCAACATGAAGGTAGAACGAGTACTATATATTATATAATGAAATGAGATTATAACTTATTGTGAAATAATCGCATTATACAGTAACAAAACGTTTATAGCAAGAATTTGATACAGCTTGTATTTCATAATATACGACTTCTCTTAACAGTTGCCTGAGTCAAGTACTTACTTAAATTTCTAATAAGTTTAAAATGTTATACAGATGAAGCATAATTACTATCTATGTTCGCAAAGGAAATATGACAGTGCCTGCTACATACGTATTAGTTGTTTTCCTGTTCAGTTCAATCTTGGTGGGGATGGTCCGCATGGTGGCAATTACGGTTCGATGTAAATCCAAGTACAACCACGGACTTAGATATCTAATCTAATTCCGTGGTACAGCATATAAACAAGTAATATACTTTGTTATAAGGTTCTAAATGTAATACCTGCAAGTTGATGTTTCATGTTTCCGCTATACCAATGGACGGTTTATAGTAGTTACAGTGATTCACCCAGCATTTGTGTTGGTGTTCATTGGGGAATTGGTTAGGAAAAGTAGATAGTGAATTGTATCTTGTAAAAAGGGTTTATTTCTTGTGCGTGACGTACTCGTTGGATAACTCACGCGGACTATAATGACACAGGGGCCTGATACGTTGTTATAGACTTGAGGGGATACATCCAATATATATATTTAATATGTAATGCAGGTCTATATAAATCTACTGTCCCCTGTGATCTTGACATGGACAATCCACATCGGCACGGCATCACAACATCTTAAATTCTTAATCAGCTCAGCAGACAAACGACAAATACTGATATGACGCATCTCTGTGAGATATAGTATATTAAATCTCACTGTCTATAAGTCAGTGTTTATTAACTAAATTTTACAACAGGCTATTCCTACATGAATTTGGAAATATAGCCCGATTTTACATGATAGAAATAAGGAAGATATTTCTCATTTTTTTTTTCATTTTGGGAAAATTAAGCACCCCTTTCGCTACGGAAAGCAGCCTGTAATAAGCTGTTAATATAAACTCGGAAATAAATTACTGTTATCTTCAATAATAGACCGTGAATCTGATAATAGACAGGTACAGTCTTCACTGTCTGTTATGTCACTGTTTGAATCCCCCAACAAACATTATAGACTATGTCACGTGCGTATTACTCCACATGTGTACATGTAACAGGACTGTGACACTCGTTTTCCAAACCGAAATCGATCTATTTAGGGTCACGTCTTTCAAAATGGCCGACAAAATTTACGCAAAAATTGATGTGATATCAGTTCACAACAATTCGCAATCTTAAAAAGAGAAGCCATGTCGTTGGAGCACGCTGATCTCTTAGCTTATTAATTTTTCGTGTCTGTTTTTTAATTGTTTACGTAAACATTCTTTCATATCCCAGTGTAAGTATTTAAAAAGTGTGTAAGACTGCCATGAAATCAGTCAATAAACCTTAGCACGGTTTTCGCTATAGGGCCGAAAATGAGTTGACAAGGCTTTTCT